TGGTAGGCACTGGACAAGACCTTCCACCCCCCCCCCCCCAACCCTTCACACATGTTTTTCTTCATGGAAAAAATTCAAATAATACCAAGCAAACCTACATCAATAATGTCAGAAATGTTTTGTAAGGTCTTTCTTATTGACATATAAGACTCACTCCCATTATTGTTCACAAATGCTGTTTTGGAAGTTCATAATTTGTCTTCTGTATTGGAAAGTCCGTGAGGAGCAATGCTAGAAAACAGAAAAGATGTATTTTCAGACACAAAAACATACTTACGAACTCAAACCCCTAAACACTCACAATATAGGCTAGATTTTTTTTTACATACTGCTTGGCAGCTATGATAGTGTTATAAAACAAGACCAATCTCGTTGTCATTATATTTATCCTACATCTTCAAGTTGTCACATTTCCTTCTCTTTAGTTACCATTCATGATCACATTGGTTGTACAAAGTTCACAAAATAGCTTGATGAATCATAGAACATCCTACAACTCTCATTATAAAATCTAAGAAAGAAGAAGATTTTAATGGCAAATGTCCCATGAATCTTGCTTGGCAACTTCAGAAATAATTTTTTTAAAAGAATCAATCAGTACTTTTGTATTTTGTTGCATCTCCATATATAAGTTAACAGTTCGAGGCATTTACAACTCCCTCTCCAAGAACGCATGGTTATAATGATCTTCCTACGCAACTCACCGCATGTTGCGACTGATGTCAGCCGAGGCACATATCAGGATATTTTTATCATGACACAGTCCCTGGATGAATGGGCAGTTTCGGCTGTGTCTTCTGTGTTCCGCCTCTACGACATCCCCAGCTTCCCAGCTGCTCAAAATCTTCAAACAGAAAACACACTTCACTCTGTCCCTGGGGCCGATGTAGTAAAACCCATTTCTGGCCAAATCTGTTGCCCGAACTGGATAGGTATCCGACCATGTAGTCCTAAATGTGTCCAGACGGTGTTGTTCGTGGTACAGATAGGAGGAGTTGGAGCCACTGTTGGAGGATTCCCTCGTCCAGGCCTCAGAAGGGCTGTTGTCTACCGGTTCGTATCTCGGCCATTCTGAAACCATGACAGTCTCGTACCCGACATCCATGCCATCGAGGCTGTTTCCTGGATGCACATTTCGAACCATGTAGACCGGGCGCAGTCCATTCTCCGCAGGGTTTTCCTGGTAACGCCCTGAGTACACTTCGTCTGGACCAATGTCATGGCCAGCTGACCCTGACCTTGACATTCGTCCCCCATCGTCCATCTCAACCAGTGGCTTACGCCATAACCTTTGCCTAGGGGTTTGTTTCTTCAAGCAGGGAAAATCTGCAAAATAAAAAAAGATGCACAGTATAACGTGGACAGCTCGAATTCGTCGGGACCTGCCTCGGTAGTTCGAGGGATCAGTAGTTCAAGGAATATCTTACAAAGAAAAAGAAGAAGAAAAAAACAGGGACCGCAGGCACAGTTCGACAGATGCTTGATTTCGAGTCTTCTTTGTTCAACCTACCCATGTTATATTGAATTTGTAAAGAGTCTTCAGACTAAACAATGTAATTGTAGAAGTTTTAGGCCCCAATTGACGCTATTTACAGATCTGCCAACAGCCCCATGACCTAAAATATGAGCTTCCCTTCACCCCCATCCCCCTTTTCAACCACACATATTTTTACTTCCTGAATGAATGTTTCTCAAAGCCACAAGAAACTCTGTGGAGTCTGGAGTGGACCACTTGGCCCATGGGTGGCAGTTTCCCCAAACTATGCCCCATGAGGATCAAAACTTGCTCGCTGAATTTTACATCCTTTTACTCACATATCACAGACATAAATCTCATTTGACTCTATCAATAACACGTTCATTTCAGTTCACAAAACAAAATCAACATTTATTTTGTTTTAGTAAGAGTTTTACGGTACTTGTAAAATAAATAGGTCACATTGTCATTGTTATCAATCCAGAAATGGGTCATATAAGTGCCGAAGATTAGAGAGTACAAGAGAGTAACATACAAAGAAAAGAAGGAGAGAAGATAAGGAAGATAGATGTGTTTGATATGAAAGAAGGAACACGCCTCACGAGAGCACCTGCCAACCACCCACAAAATCAAATTTTGTTTGTTGAGTATTGAGAAGCACATCACATCCACATGATGATGACCATTAAGTGCAAAGAAAAAGCAATATATATATATATATATATATATATATATATATATACACAACACTACACCTCTAGTTCTTTAGAAATATTAGAAAGAAATAAAGGCAGTTGTCAAAGAGTATCAACAAAATTTCAAGCTTATTTGAAATTGGCAGCCACAGAGAAGAAAGGAACAGCAAGAGCTATGCTGAATAGAAAAGTGCTTTGACAGTGTTTTGACAGTATAACGATACACAATTATGCCTACCAAACAAGCACATCCTAACAGTCGTTCAAAGCATTCACTAATATGGGAAATGAAATAATATGTATGGAAAACTCACTTTCCACAAGTCAGATATATTTTATCCGGTGGTTGGCAGGTGCTCTGGTGTGGTTTGCTTCTTCTTTCCTATCAAACATCTATTGTCTTTATCTCCTCTCCTTCGTGTTTGTGTTTGTAGCTCTTTTGTAACACAGCTAATCTTCGGCACTTATAGACCTGATTGTGTTGCAAGTGCCATAAAACACTTATTAAAATGAAAACATATTTTATCGAGTGTCTCCGTCTCTCTGAGCCGATGTGTCCCACATTTGCTGCATTCCACATTGGACCCAAAAGGCAGGGTCAAGCAGCCAGCTTCCTAAATTATCGAAACTATATTCATGGGAGCACAGAAATATTTGTAAACAAATCGTCACAATCTGAAAATTCTCTCAATTTGTCTACTCTCAAGCTCTGGACGTCATCAAACTTTGGCAGCCATTTTTTCCCCTAATTTCACCTCTGAAACCAGGTAACCCCCACTTTTTTCAATAGAGGCAAATATCTCGACATCTGCTCAAGGTAGATTGGAATCTTTTTAATTTGAAAGCAAGACAAATGAACAAACTTTAATGTAATGCCAGTAACTTCACATGCCAAAAAAATGGACGAGCCCGGTTCCACCACATCATGACACAAATGTACAGTATTTGAAAAATAATGATAAAGCAGTCCTGTTGTTGTCCACAAAAAAACCCAAAGAAACAACAAAAAAATCAAAAGTGAATCAAGGTCACACATCTGCCCATCTTGTTGTCGGGCTATGCCAGGGGAAGCAATCACTCATACTTGCAAGCTCTAAGAGACACTCCTGATTCCTTCCCTTTCTACTCCGCCCACAGATACAACGTTCAAAACAGATGTCCCTGTTGTACATAACTCCATCAAAAGTGCACACACTCCCGACCC